TACCATCAGCATCCTAAAAATATTTAAGTTCTGTGCTCTGGTTCTTATCTAACTGTTGTTTACAAACAAATGACAAGTCTCTGGAAAAGCAGGGTGTGTGCTTTAAAAGGCAGTTTTTGCTCAAGAGAAATGACACCACTGGCTACTTTAAATGATGCAGTTTAAAGAGTTACCTGAAGTTGATGAGGTGATCAAATTGATTCAAATTGGTTTATAGCCTAAGAACTTTTAACTGTTCAAAAACTTCAGTCTTTGGGCTCCTGACATCTAAAAGAGAAATAAGTGATGCCCAGGCTTTGAAGGCTCCTTGTGTTGCTGTAGGTGAGCAGTGAGTTGGTTTCTCTGCCCCAATGGGTGTTTGTGCATCCTGCCACTTACTGCAGCTCCCTGGGAGTCCAGAAACCCTCTGGGAAATGTAAATCCATCATTGCTACTGGAGAAACGAAGTGAAAGCATCTCAGTGGGTGCTTGTTTGGCAAAACCCCCTGGTAAATGGCCGTGTTTGTGAAGTTTGTGTCTCAGATGGTGATGGCAGCAAATGTGGCCGTGGTGAGCACGAGGAAGCCTCTTGTGAAATTGTACTGCTGGTTCTTTAAGGTTGAAATGTCCAGTTCCCAGTGGGCCATGGGCTCACCCTTCCAGTGTAGCTGTGTAGCTGTCATACCTGACACAAAACCTTCTTGGGAGACACACATTGTTAGCACTGGCATCTGTTGGGAAGTCTTGCTGCTTCCAACTGTCCTTTGGTTTCAGTGTATCCTCCTTCCCTCTTGTTGCCAATTGGGTTAACACCTGTTTTCAGTTCCCTTGATGGAACTGTTTGTAGTCCCACTGCAGATGGTTGGTGTCAGCAGTGGGCTCCCAGAGTCTAACACAGCACAAATGCTCTTGGCTGATCTGTAACAGAGCTGTAGCTGCCTGATACCCTGTGCATTGTGACTGTAAACTGTTCCATGCTTTTTTAATGTTGTAGTGCATAAAGCACCAGTTCAAACAGCTACAAGAAGGGGATACTCCTCCTGTAGCTTGGAATCCTGAAAACCACACAGGGAGAGCCTCTCTCTGTCTGGGAGAGGGGACTCTGCAGCTGGAGCTCCTGTCCTGCATGGAAGAATTTTCCCTTATCCTGTTAATCATTAACATTGGAAAAATAGTGAAAGCAATGTTTCAAAAAGACAAGTAATGAATTGTTTTTTCTGTCAGTCTTCATACATCATAGCTTTGTATAAAATGTACAGAGCAAACAATAACATCAGTGGTCAAGCACTTAAAAGCGAATTCACAATGTTTAAGTCTTACTGCTGCATTTATCAGCTTAACTGAAGTTCGGTCTGATAACTTAACTTTACTGTGGTTTCTCAGTCCTGTGACATGAAATACAAAAAGTTTGCATGGGAAGCCTTTCAGTGGGTCAGCTCCCTGCCTGGCTCACACCGGGCTTGTTTACAGGTGTTGAGAGGATGTGGTGGGTGTTTCCATGTGCACAGAACCTCCTGTCATAGGCTTTGTTTGACTTTGTGTTTTCACTTCAGCAATTCGTAGCAGGGTTAAGCTGTTTCAAATGCCAGCTGGATCTTTCTTCCCGTCTGGACTTCATAAAAAGTCAAAACTTGGCATTTTTTGTCTTCAAAAACAGCTGAGGTAAATGGCATTCATTTATGCTTCGGCGTTTTTTTGGTATGTCTGTTGTTCTCGGTATTTAAAGCAGGTCAGGGTAGTGTTTAGAGCATACCTTTAACAGCATTTTGGAACTTTTGCAGTTATTGAAGAACACAGTCTTGTGTTTTCTTTCCCTGCAATAGTAATATATTGGTTTCAAATTAATTTGGGATTCTGTTCAAATTTGAACATTTTTCTCAGCACTGTTACGAATTGCATTTCATGTTTATAGTGTAAAAACTGTAGCATAATTTATTTGATACTTTTTTATATGTTCACTTCCAGTGTTTCTCCATATGGTTTTTTCCCCCCAGGGCTTGCTTTTCTTGGTCACTGAGGAACTTGAAACACCACTGTCTTTAGTTAGAAGTGTTAAGTACTTGCTGTCAGAAAACAGACTGGAGTTTCTCCTGGTTGCAAAAAACGTTACCATGTTTGAACACACTTGGAGACAATAATCTTGAGGCAGTGCTTACAGCAAGAGTGAGGTAAAGGTTTATTCTGTGCAACCTCAGCTGATTCAGATTGAGAATTTATTCCCCCTCTTGCTGGTGTTTACAACTACTCTGTAAGCACTTCTGTCCCTCAGTCATTTAATTACTCATTTTGTGCTGGCTTAACTTCAGCTAAAAACGTCATTTGGGACAGTATCAGAGGCTCTGCTGAAGCCAGGACAGTGAGCTGCTGTCCAATTTATGCTCATGCCAGCCAGCCTGTCAGCAAAGGAAGTTGGAATGGCTCCACACAGCTGTTGGTAGCCCAGTGAGCCACCTGCTTGGCTTTTCCAGTCACCATCACCCCCTGGGAGGTGTCAGAGGATCCCAGACCCCCTGGCCTGTTCTGAAAGGACAGTTTTTGTTCCTTGCTACTGGGGAGGAACCTCCTCGTTCTCCACCTTCTGAGAACTGAGTGTTAAAGGGTTTGGTTTCAGTTTGGCCCCTTCCTTCTGGTTCTGTCTTATGTTGCACTGAAGCTCAGAGCTTTTATAGTGAGTTATTGTATCTCACTGGCTAAATAAAAGCCTAAAGCACTGCACCTTTAGCTGTGAGCAGCACTATGGTACCACTGTTATGGTAGTTACTCTTCTTTTACTTGGCAACAAATGCTTTTGGTAGAGCAGCACTGGAACCCAGTTAGTCTAAGGGTAGGTCATTTAGGAATCTTTGCATGTGTTCTAACTGAAAATCCTTTCAGACTACTAACAGTTTTCTTCCTTTTTGGAAAAGAAAAAATTGAATATTCAGTTAGTAGATTAGGTTGTCTTCAGTTTTAAAAATACCAGTACATAACTGATTCTGTTGAATGTGAACTACTTAATTAAAAAATTCCTTTTTTTCTAAGAAATCAGAGCTGCTGCTTGAACACAGGGATGAGACAGCAGAGACCACTTGTTCATTGGTAATTAAACATATTGAGAGAATTTACATGTTCTCTCTTGTTGAGGCCACAGTTCTAAAGGCACGACATGATCACAATTTTGTTTTCTTGCTTAGAGTGCTGAATATTCAATTCAGGTTTTGGGCATCTCAGGGAGATAATTCCAGCTGGATAAAGCCACATGCCTTGACTAAACCTAGTGATGTTGTGCAGACTTTTCTTAGCTGAGGATCTGGCCCTTCACACTATGAATGTATTCAGAATTGTACTTTGTTAATGCTGCCCTGTTTCCTGTGTACCCCTACTGCTGTATGTAATTAATTTTTTGCATCATTTAATTTGCAGCTTGTTTGTAGATTTCAGCATAAAAACAATTTTCTTTTTAAGATTACGTGGGAACTTATATTGTGAGTTTATTGCATTCTGTAACTTAAAGGTTTACATCCCTCAAAAGCCATTTTGTCTGCTACCAACTGCTGTAATCCTTCGAGTACCTCCAGCCATCTTCTCTTTCTAGGATTTTTATAGTTAAACAGAATGGATTTTTATTTTTGTAGCTTGTAACTTCAAATATGTATAGCAGTTGTTTAGTAATCAGAATACTGTAAAAACGTTACCTTTAAGAGCTGTAACTTCAAATTAGTAATAACTACTTACAAGAAAATACCAGCATGTTAGCAGTTAAAAAAAAAAAAAAGTTATTCTTTAGCTTCACATACTGTGATGCTGCAGCTTGGGATTTGCATTGAATGTGTTTATCCATATATTCTGACATTGCACTAAACAGGAAAAATATGAGCTTAGAGTGCAATAGGTCAAAAAATAGAATTTATAACATCTTAGATTTTTTTCATCTGATAAAAGTAACATTTGGGATTCAGTATTTTTTTGTTTCCCACCGAGCAGTAAGGGAGGAGTGATCAGTGGACTCTTGACAGATCAGTTGTACCCTTATGGTGCAGTTTGAGATCTGTATTTAGTGCTCAAACATAAACAGACACCTTCTGCATCATTCCTGCCTCTCTCCTCAGAGAACAGAAACTCAGAGCAAACCCCACTGCTGACAGCTGTACAGTATGTGAGATCTTACTTGCAAGGAAAGAACCAGCCACCATAATCTTGAACCTCCAAAATAAACATTTAAATCAAACTTTTCCAATTTTTCCTTGACATCAACTGACATTTTCAAATCCCAAACTGGTTTTCCTTTGGTTTTTAGAAGGAGGCAGGCTGAAATGGGAGGATGAGGAAGTATTGCTGTAAAAAGTCTTTGTCATAAAAGCTGGGAGGGCTGTTCTTTATTTGCTGCAGAAGCACAGCAGCTGTGATTGTGTCTCATAAAAATTTGTGATGTGTGCTCCAGTCATGACACGGGCTGATGTGAGGTTTGAGAGCTTGGGTCAGGCTCTGTCTGTGGGAAGCTGCAGCTTCAGCAAAGCCACAGAACTGCCCCATTCTGTGGTGTTACTCCACATTAACACAAGGGAGACTGAAAACCTCAGTGAGTTGTACCATGGCCTGTCCCTGTGACTTACGCTCCCAGAAGGCTCTTTTGAGAAACATCTGCTCCATATTCGTCATAGAAGTTTGTAAATACAGGTTTTTCACAGCACTGACTCTGTTACTGAATTTCCTGTTGCATCTTTTTGTTGTCTTGTTGTTTATACTGTATTTCTCTGTAGATTTAAGTGTGTGGATTAAAGTATTTAAACTCGGATTCTTTTATTCCTCACTATGCATAAAAGCAAATATGATTTTTCAACTCTGTGACAACCCCCGTGACTGCCTGGCTTTGCAAGGGCTGCAGCAGGATGAGACCAGGGATTTTAAAAACAAGATTGCATTTTGTGGAACTCTATGGCTGTGTTCCTGCTGGAAAGTCGAGGTGTTTCAAACCCCAATGCATGGGAAAAATTCTAGACAGCGTGGTAATGTCATTGGGAAGTAAATCTAACACTGGTAACATGCAGCGATTTGTCTCAGCAGCTGCTGGTTCATCCTTCACCCCTGGGGAGAAGGTGAGTTTTTGTGACTTTAGAATAGATGTGGTTAAAGTGGTGTAGCCCCCCAGGCTTCAGCAGGGAGGTGAAATGTCCAGATTGTTGCTTCTCACCTCTGTTGTCAGTGATTTGGGATCTTAAAAACAGCTTGTGACCCTGCCCACTCTTTATTTAGTGTAAGGGGGGAAAGTCCTACAGATGTCCTACCTGTAATGAGCAATTTCAAGTAAGAGTTTTAACAGGAGATGTTTTGGTGTCATGTGGTGGTAATAGAAACTGGAGATGGGGTGGGAAGGCTGCTGAGAGTAAGGCAGGAAAACCCACCGGGCTTTCCCCAGAAAGGGGAAAATGCTGCTGCTGGAAGAAGTTCAGGGATCAAGTGGCTCAATGCTTTCTCCTGATGGCAGCAGATGGGTTAGTTTGGGCTTTTGGAAGTGAATAAATCCTCCTGTGGGGCCACTTTATCATAGTGTCAGTTCCCTCCCCAAGTCCACTCTGTTCCCCGGTCTCATTTGCACAAAAGAGAGAAGGGCTCTGGCCTCTCAGCTCCTGTATTATGCCACGATCAAACCTTTTAAAGAGTATTTGTGTGTTGTTTTCCATTCAAGATGGGGGCAGAGCATAGAGATTCAGCAGGTTTTTTTTTTTTCTTAGATGGGTAAGACAATCGTTTCACAGAGCTTTCAGGATCGCTGGCACTAATGTATTTAAGCATCGAGGTTTAACGCATTTTGAATGTTTTTAGAACTGCTGGAGTGAGCCGTGCACAGCACCAGCTTGAGCCACACTTTAGCCCAAGGTTGTGTGAGGAGTCAGAACACAGGTACGTGTGGGGAAGAACACGGGTCCTTAGCAAAGAGCAAATCAGGGCTGAAATTCTTTTCTGATAATAAAAGTAAAAATGTAAAGTATTTGGTGAATGAACAGAAAAGTGGTGGTGTGTGGGTTCAAGTACGATTCAAGGAGTCTAGTGTTAGACAGTTGAGAGTCTAACAGGATATCTCCTCTGACAAATCTCTTTTCCTCTTCAGGAAAATCCCTCATTGCAGGAAGGCAGCGGCCAAACTCTGCCTCTTCCCCTGTGCATCTGTGGGCAATGTGAGAACACGCTGGTAACCGCAAGGTAACAGATGGCCGGAGGGTCCCGGTGACCGCGGGCGCTGCGGCGCTGAGCGGGAACAAAGCCCCGCGGATCTGGGGATGTGCCACCCAGCCGTGCCCAGGGCCATTGTCCCCGCCCGGCCACGAAATCCCGATTCCACGCTTAGGAGCTGCTTAAAAGAGACTCGCTCTCCCAGACCTGCAAAAGAGCAGCTCCCCATGTCGTTCATTGAAAATATGGAAAGGGCAATGCATATAGAAATCTAATTATTGGCAGGCACAGCCCGGCTTTTAGCATGATAATCGTGGGCCCCGGAGCTTTCTTGTGCACGGACCCCGAAAGATAATCATGAAAACAAAAGTTAAAACTATTGAATTTCCATCACTCACTCGAAAGTTCGCTTTGATTATGTTGACACGATTTTTGTTTGTCCTTACGCGGCGACGAGAAACTGTTATTAATCACTTCTAAATATTTCAAGGACAAAGGGGGCTGCCCGGCCCGGGGGATGGAGAGGGGATGATGATGGGATGAAGGCTGATGGCGGGGTGTCCCCCGCCTGTGCTGGGGGGTTCTCCCCGAGCTGGCGGGGCGGGGGGAAGGGGGTCGGTGACGGGCTCGGCCGACACCCCCAGCCCACCCCCTTCCCTCCCGCCGCCCTTATAGCCCGGCCCGCGCCCGGGCGCTGCCGGCAGCCCATGGCCACGGTGCGGGGCTCGCCCGGGCTCCCGGCCCTGCTGCGGCTGCTGCTGCTGCTCGGGGCGGGCGGGTCGCGGCCGGGCACCGCCGATCGCTGCAGCTGGAGGGGCAGGTACGGGGGTACCGGGGTACGAGGGGCTGCGGGCACCGGGCGGACCCGCCCCGCGATCCGGGGGCTCCCGGGGAGGGAACGACCCGTTCCAGCACCCGCGGGCGCGGCGCTGGCGCGTTTGCTCCGATCGCTGACAGGAAAATCGGCGACAAATATTCTCAGTATTCTCGGGTGTTACATCCTTTCCCTCGACGTTTTGTTGGCTGTTTTACTTTTCCTTTAATTAATTCCGCTATTGCGGATTTGATCCCCGTAAGCTGACTTCAGCAAAAGTAACTGTTCTGAAAGCGAGAGCTCGGGAGCAGGGCCAGCACGACGCCTTTCCATCGCAAGCATTTCCTGTGATTAATTTTTATGGGAAATATTAGAAATTATTTTGGAAATCTAGGTCTTTGAACCAAATTCTTTCAGGCGTAACGTCAGTGCTCGTTGAGCAGCTCCCGCTGCGGGTCGGCGGCTCTCACCCCCATCCGCTCACCGGTGGGATTTTCCGGACATCCGAGCACTGGCCAGCCCTGCCTCACGGAAAGGTTTGGAGCTGTTTAGCAGAGAGAAGTTGCCCTCTGGCATTTCCCTGGATGCTGCAGGCATCCAAGCATGGATTTGCAGGCGGGCAAAAGGGGCTGAGCTCCTTCCCGTGCCCTCAGGTGCAGCCCCAGGTGTGAGCAATCCGTGTCTCCCCATCCCTCCCGCACGGTGCTGCAGCTGTGACCCGAGGGAAGGGAGGAAGGAATGCAGTCCAGCCGGAGGAAGCCAATTTAAGAGTCATTAGGAGCGAGTCGGTTAGCGGTAGGGTTTGTCTCTCTGGGCAGTGTGGTAGTGTTTTCCGGGATGTTTTGGCTGTGCTGTGGGCACCGTTAGTGATGGAGCGATGGTGTTGCCCTGGCAGCGGTTTGAGCCGGGAGCCCCGTTCCCGCGCCGTGGAGCAGGTCCATCTGCGCTGCACCGAGGGCTCCCTGGAATGGATGTACCCGGCACGAGCCCTGCGAGTGGTCCTGGAGCCCAACCTGTCCAGTGCCCAGCACACCACCGTCTGCATCAAGCCCGCCAGCGACTTCCAGGGTGCCAACATCTACGTGGAGCGCGCCGGGCAGCTGCACCTGGTGCTCAGCGAGGCCCAAGGGGCTCGGCCCCACCACGTGTCCTGTTTCAGCGCCCACAGGCCGCAGCGAGTGGCCCTGTTCCTGCAGGCCAGCCCGCAGAGGGACATCAGCCGCCGCACCGCCAGCTTCCAGTACGAGCTGCTGAGCAACCAGAGCACGGCCGGCCCCGACTTCAAAAAGATGGCCCTGGTGGAAGGTAAGAGCAGGGGCAGCCCCGGGGCTCCGCTGCCAGGGCAGATCTGGGATAGCGTTTGGTATTCACTGGTGCATCCCTTGTGATAGAAGCTGTTTTGGGTTGAGGGGTTTGTCGCTGCAAGGGGGGTCCTGGTGGTGCCATCCCTGAGAACATCCCCTGTGCTTATTTCTTTGCTGTGGTTGTATTTGCACAACAAGAGACTTGTTTTGAATCTGATCATAATTCTCTCTAACCTGGTAGTTCTGCCTCGTCTCCTTTCCTAATTCACCAGTCCTATATTATCTAATGTACGTATTATTGTATAATAATGTATGTATATTATAGTGTTATAAATAACTAACTGGTCTGGGTTTTTTTCTAGCTATGTGCCGTCCTTGTGACAACGTGGAACTTCTTATGGCCATTTGCAGCAGTGATTTCGGTAAGCTGACTAAAGGAGAGTCATTCTGCCTTTTGTTTATATTGATTATTTGGATTTGTTTGCTACTTTTCTTCAAATAATGTCATGATTGTGCTCCCTGATCTGGGAAAGAAAATAGCTGTGTGAAAAGGAATCTGAAGGGGGGGGGGCAGGAGTGAAACCTGGAAGGGAGAAACTGGCTTGTTTCCTGCAAGCAGAAAGTTAAGATCTAAAACTGAACTGTGAGTAATTCTCACAGGTGTGAGCTGCTGGCTCTTGGGTGTAGACACTCATACACACAGGTTGTACATGCTTGGTGTGGTCATTTTTATTCCCTTTGTCTATGTTTCTTTTTATCCCAACTATGAATATGCTCTCTCTCTTCCCTCACAATTCACACACTTCTAGTTCTTTTTCTGCAAAGGCAGTGAGTTGTTTGTAGCTTAGTTAAAGACTTCAGGTGGTTTAAACTTCCTTCAGTGATGTCCTGGTTAGGTTTCATGCCTTATGAGAAAACAGAGCAGTTATAGTCCATAAGAAAAGAAATAATAAGAAATACTAATTTGATGATACCTTAAAAGTTTTTTCCTTTTTCTCTACCTGATAGTGCAATAGGATTTTTTTTTTTCTTCTGAGTGGTTTGTCCATTTTATTCCCCTGTTTTTCCACACTCACATTTGTACCTCTTCGATTGGGTCAAACAGCTAAAGCTGTAGAGCTGCCTCTCCACGTGGCCACAATTCCATTGCTGTAAATGCACCTACGTGAAAATAAAACTACAAATTCCGTTCAATGTTTATAAACCCCACCAAATCACTGCTTCCCTACCCCGGGGTTGCCACACTACAAAGCTGATAAAACCAGACACCAACATCACTGTGCAAATACAAACCCAGTGCAGAGCAGGCTTCCCTTGGGGTGCTCCTTAGCTGGTAATTTTTATTCTTCCTCTAAATTAATCGGTGCAATCCAGCCCGTTGTTTTTCCTTGATGAAGTCCCTGGTTCCCATGCGGGTGCTCTCCCTCGGAACAACCGGAGACTGACAGATGTGGAGGCCCAGGCACACAATGGGGGCACTTACACTCACAGCAGCAGCAGACCAGAAGAAATGGCCCTTTGAACTGACTCTATTTATGGCCTGACTTCCTTGCCCCGAGCCCACAAATCGCTATCATCGACTTTTTTGATTAGAGAAAATAGCTGCTAATGAAAGTGTAAATGACACTGGGAGTGAATGGGGGCTTTATAGTCACCCTTGGGATGGGGGTCTTCAGTCACTGGGCCCTGAGCAGTGCAGGAGCAACTTGGAGCACCAGGAACAAGTGCATTATAGCTTGTCAATAGACTTGACTGCATCTGATTAAAAATGATCACACAAAGAGGGAGAGAGAGCAGAGACATCTGTTACACAAAATTCTGCATTCCCTTGGAAAATCTAATTAAATGAGGAAGTTCTTGGAGGCTTCGGAAATAAGTCTATCCTGCATCTTGGGTTGTTGAGTTTTCTGTGCCCAAACGAGTGAGTTCTGTGGCAGGAGGGTGGTGATGTACCCATTGCTTTGCAAACCTCTCATTTGCTGAAGAGCTCATGGCTCAAATGGTGGCCTGTTTCTGAGCCTTCTATGGATGTGGGATTGAAACTAACTTAATTAGTAGAAGCATAATTGATTGCTGTGAAAAATGGGGGCAGTGACATTGAGAAAGATGGATTCAGGACAGCAAACACCTGTCAGATGAAATGTTTTATTCTCCATGTGGTTGATGCAAAGGATGCTTTCAGTCAGAGACTGTGGCTTCTTGTGCTTCCCTTCCAGCTAGGATCCTTCTGGGAGAAGAAGGTACATGTATGCTATGTGATTTTTGAAATAAGGCTTCAAATAAAGTCGCTTTAGGAGTTCTGAATGTTGTTCATCATCTCCCAAAATGTCTTTTGGAGGATGGATGACATTTTCTTTTGAGTGGAAAAAAACACCAAACCGTTAAATGAAAAAAAAAATTAAAAGCTCTCATTTCCTTCAACCAAGTCATATTCTGATTTTTCTTGGATTAACCTCTGTTAGTGGTGTGAAAGGAAAAGCTCCAGAGTCCCCTGGAGTCAGTAAGGAAGGCAACCTGTGATAGTCGTTGTCTTGGAACACAGACCGGAAAAAGCGAATCCCTGAACCAACCTCTTTTCATGTGCTTTTTAATCCTTCACTACTTTTCATTATCAAGCAAGATAGATGCTTTGTCCTCAATGTAGCTGGTTTGAGTAGTCATAAAGCACAATTCCAAGGACATAGCACTGTCTGTGTAGGGATCCCCTGGGCAAAGGATGCAATACAAGCTCAGAAATGTGTCCACATGTCGGTGGGAGGTGTAAAAACTGCACCACTCCTGCTCTCCAGTTATTTCATTCAGTGAGCTCCTGGTACCTGAGCTGCTTCCCTGCTGCTCCATAACCAACTCCTGTCTTCCTCACATCCAGTGGTGAAGGGATCCATCCGAAACGTTTCCCACGACTCAGAGAACCACATGTCCCAGGTGGATGTCAGTGTCCAGAGAGTCTACAGGCAGAAGAACAGGATTTTCCAGCAGGATGAAGGGAGTGGGGAGTGGAGAGGCCCGATCCGAACCCTGCTGCAGTGCAAGGTGAAGAAGGGAGGTGGAGATTTCCTCTTCACTGGGAATGAACACTTTGGGGAAGCCTGGCTGGGCTGTGCCCCTCGCTTTAAGGATTTCATGTTTGTTTATCGAGCTGCCAGAGAAAGAGGAGCCAACCCCTGCGAGTTTGAGCTCAACTGACAAACAGAGACACTGTTGTTGAGAGCTCAGTTTTCAGATACTGAACCTGGAGCAGAGTTAAAACCCAGGACTGAAGCTGACAATTCCACCTAAACTGGGAGCTGGAGAATTCCCTGAGGATAATGGCTCTGTGAGCCCTGTGAACTCTTTTAACGCTCATTAGTTTCTCCTTCTTCAAATTGTCATTGTCTCACAAAATAACTGTGAATTTTGAAAAGATTGTCTTTTTGGGGGATTAGAAAGCAGCTTGTGCCCAGGATTACAAAATTCTAAAATGTTTCGCTCTGTCTACATGCAGTGTGCTTTTTCTCCAGATATTTTTTTCCTCCCCAATCTCTACTTGATTTCTTTTCCTTTACAGTCGAATGTGGAAACTCTCTCTAAGCTTGAGGGGAGGAAACTACCCTTGAGGAAAAAAAAAAAAAATCCCCAAGAACTACTTCCTTTTTAAAATGGAACATAGGTGCTGTAAAAAGTATGTTTTCTTTTCTTACACTGAAAGATACTAAGGAGCTTAATATAAGCACAGACAAAATACAACTAACTTGACTTCTGAAAGTTCTGTTGAACTGATTTAGGATCAAGAATTGCTCATGATGGTGTTTTCACCTAAATTATCTGCCTCTTTTCAATTAGCTTTCATTATTTGAACCATGGCTCCTCCCACCCTCCCTCAGTGCTTTGGCCAGACTCCCATAATTGCCTGTATTTTATGTAAATGGAATTGCTACACCGTAAAATGATATACAAATGTGTCTACCACATAGAGCCCAATAAATGGTGTGAATAAACCCATTATTTCCCGTGTAACAGCATCTGATTGCAGCCTGGGAAACACGGGGCTGACAGATGTGAGCCCGTGACAAGGCCTGCAAAAATCTGAATGAGGAGCCCTCTGACAGGCCACAATTAATTGACTTTTGAAATGACTCCTCTTTTTTTTTTCCACAGTTCTACTTGGCTGAGCAAGATTCACAAATTGCTGTCTTGAACTTTTTAATGGGACAAAATAGCTGCCAATGAAAGTCTAAATGACATGAACTTTGAATGGGAGTCGTACAATGGCCACGCCGTGACATGTTTTTAACTGACATATTGATTATTTGAGAAGTAGCAGCCACTTAATTGGGAGGGAATGGGGAAGGGGGGAACAAATGGGAGGGAGTCAGAGGACTGGGTGTAGAAATACAGGGTGTTAAACAGTAGCCAAATATAGTTTTATTAAAATAGGGAGCATCCTGATAAACACTTTCACGTGTTTTCCCAGAGAGTACAATTTGGAGTCCAAGTCAGTTTTTCTTTTTGCTGTGAAAAAGTGTTCACAAAGCTAAATCCAGAGGAAATGTCATTAGCAAGGAAGAAAATAGACCTTGTATGAGCAATGAGCCTGCTGACTTCCTGAGGATCTCAGTACTTGCTCAAGACCCAGGCTGTAGTCACAGTCAAGTTTATATGGGCTTAAAATATCTATTTGTCTGGCTTTGGAAACTGAGACCAAGCTCTGACAGACCTGATTGACCTCCTAATCCCAGGGCCATCATGGTTAGTGAAGATGAGGATTTTTCCTCCCCTAGTTTTTGCTGGTTTGTTGTTTTGTGTTATGCTGATCAAGAAATACTGTTTGAGTCTCTGGGAACTCTTTGGAGAGTTTCTTCTCCAAAACCTTCATCAGCCCAACTGACTTGGAGAACTTTAAGTGGAAAAGGAAATGCTGAACTTGTTTCGTGGATGTCTTTGTTTGGGCTGATTTTTAAACATATTGAGCCACCAGAACAGCTCCCTCCTGAGCTGTTTTCCACTGGCCACGTGGGGAGGCAGCAGCCTGCAAACCACACTCCCTTTAGTTTGATTTCACTGGGTAATGTTAGGAATCATCACCCGTTGCTGCTTCTGGGTGTACCTTAAGCTGGCAGATGCTGGACATCACCTGAGGGTTTTTTAAGCAATCCCACACTGAGTCCTTAGTTGTTCCTCTTCCTCCAGCTGATGGCCACGTTTTTGTTTACTTGAAAAGGTTCCAGTTTTGTTTACTGGTCAGGATGTTCCCCTTGTCCTCAGCTGGTAACGGGTGTGTAGCTCAGGGGAAGGAGATCTAGGACAGCATTAGACAGCCCAGAGGCCACCACAGCCTCTGCAACTCTCCTTTTCTCTCTTACCCACTTCTTGTATAACTCAGGGAATTATGCAGTAAAAGACCTGTTATTTGTACTCTGCTGTGTCTTCCCTTCTGCCTCCCTCACTGCTTTGCTTCAACTCTGAGCACAGAACAAAACATTGAGAGTTGGGGTTTACTGTCAGTATTTATTGAATTCAAACTATCACAATTCACCAGTCAGCTCCTGCAGCAGTTACAGGCCAGGGACCAGATGGCATAAAATCCATGTTGGTGGCCCTGGTGGGGACACCTGGGTGACACAACTACATGGAATAACACACCATACACATACTGAAGTACCTGGCTGATGCATCACTGCAACCAACAGATAACTACATAAGCGTTTCTTTTTCTAAATACAATGTTTTTCTGATGTGTTTCATTGAAGAAAAGATTAAATTTAAACAGATTAGTTTATTTTTCAGTGAGCAACTGTTTCTTGATTTACTCTCACTTGTACATTAAAATGCCAGTCAATCCCCATCCTCATGGTGTTATTGACACCAGAATTACTTCTATATCTAGACTGGGTAAGTTGGGTTCTTCGTAGTATTAACAAGAGAAGTACAATTAAAATATATGCTTCTACAGATGTTTTGTTTAAAACCAGTATAGCTTTGATAGTTACTGCCTAAGTACAACCACTTCAGTTGTGTTGAAAAGGTTTTTGAATCATCACTTATTATGCTGTAACTAATATTTTTCTTAATATTATATCACCCTAATGTTTCAATATATCCAAGATATCTGAAGCTAACCAAAACAAGAGTTTTCAGAAATCCAGCGATTCCATTACATATTTCTGATTTCATTCCAAACTAACAGAATTTCCTTCTATGATTTCTAGTCATTCATAGCACTAAAGAAAGCAAGAAATAGGACCAGGAGTACAGTGGCAGGCTTGTTTCACTGCCTCGTAATCCAGGGCACCTTCTGTCTTCCATACTGTTGGTCATTCACCGATGTCACATTTCAAGAATTCCCACCTTGGCCAGAATAAAAGCTGCTCTTGACTTTGGGTGTCACTCCAGACTGTGGCTACAGAAGCCCAAAGACTTAGAGGTCAGTACTGACACCCCTTTCAAGTCAAGAGGCAACAGAGAATGGGGACCTTCTCCACTGCACAAACCTTTGTCCCAAGGGGACAGAGTATCTTTCAGCACCTACAAGTGGATCTGCAGCCCCGTGGCACTGCCAAGCAGATAAAGGATTTCTCAGAGGAAACTGCTCTTGTCCCTCAATGCTGACAAACTGGAAGGGCAGAAAACCCAGTCTGTCATTCATTGTTGGCTCCCAGCAGGACATATCCTCCCTCCACACCTTCTAAAGACTTCTGCTTAGGTTGGTAGTTTCAGTGCTGACTGTGCTTTGGAGAGTGGAGACCCTTGCCACTGCTCCAGAGACAGCTGTGGCACTTTTAGATCCCCCATCAATTCCATATCCTATCTTGGCCAAAGAAATGGAAGAAATCAAACTTATGCTATCCTTGACAAAGTACCAAGAGTTTACAAGCCAAGTGAAAACAGAGACACCAAGCCCTGGAAGTCTCTCTCCAAAGCACTTTGGCTAATGTGGAATGTATCATAGAGGGTCTTTTAAGCCTTCTAACAATTCCCTGCCAAACTGCCAGCAGTGGCTTTGTGTTCTGTTTCACCAAGTCCCACAATGGGAGTTTTACAAATCAAAGTCCAGGAAGTCTCTCGTGAGCTTCCCTGTTCTTCACAGGATTCAAGAAATAGGAGCTACCACAGTAAGCCCAGAGGCATCAACAAGATACAGACCCAATAACTATGAGATCCAAGTACCTTGATTGCCTACAGATTGTAAGTAGGAAGTACAGATTCCTCTGTACACAGAACTTCTGAAGACATATCACAACCCAAAGCAAAGAACACCAGGAAAATTAAAAATCCATCCCAGTAGGAATGGATGTATATTCTCCTTTGTGCTAATTCCCTGCATGTTTCAAAGGACTCACCTGTCTGCCCACAGGCTTCATGCAGAGAAGAAACAGCATTTTCTAGGTCCTGTGCACATGTCTTGAGACTTCTCAAATCAGAGTCCCAAAAACATACAAGAAATCCAGCTTCTACCACCTGAACAACTAAAGATACACCAGCAGAGAATATCCCACCTCACAAAGAGGAAAAGCTTTATGACAGAAGACCCTCCTTAAAGCAAACAGCAGATTTATGCTCCATATGCAAGCCAAAAATGCACCCCCTGAACTCCTCAGCACACAACAAACGCCCCAACACTAAAGAGCCTTCAGTGTGAAGATGTGAAGCATGTTCTGGGTCAGCAGATGAGACAGAATACTTCATCCCCCAAACTGTGTTATCACAGGACACACATCACTGCTCTGCAGGATGTCTTCCTGAAGACTCTCTGGTGTATTCCCAGAGTCAATGTCATTTATTCCTTGGTGATTTTAACACCATTTCTTTCCCATCAACTCTAAAAGTCTCTGCATTTCCATTCTGACGAGATCTGTCATATTGGCTTTTACAACTTTGTGCCATAAGACCTGGACTTACTGATTTCAGTAGCTCTTTCTGTAGCATCTCGTGGAGTCGTACACTGAGAACCTGAGTATGAAGAACAGTCTGTGTATAGACAAAAAGGCAACACTGAGAGCTCCCTCAAAGCCTGGAACCTGAATTTGTCAAGGAATTCTTCCTGTTTCTTTCTCAAAGGGATTATGGTTACCTGTGGAACACATTAATTCTGGGGCTCCTTTACAGGCAACCACAGAAGCCACAGCAGCTACTGAAGAGATTTAACAATGGTTCATACCATGACTTTGATTTTAGGGCAATCAAAGTCTTTGCAAAACCTTTCATTGTAGTTTTTACTATCATCAGCATTTTGCTAAATCACTCTCTAAAGGCTTCAGACCAAAGAATCGGCAGATTTCCCAAACTGCTTAAAAGAGCTAATAATTTTTGCCTCAAACAATCAATCTTTGAGACTTTGGGTTTGATTACGTGCATATAAGTACTTAGGTGAACTAAACTAAGATAGGAGACCTTACTGTTTCATTTAAAGGAGAGAGAGCACAGTGCCACTGGAGAACAGCCAGAAGGCAGGGTACAAGGCCTCGGTGAACTGGGCTTTGAATTTATAGATCAAGTTGTGCTTCTCCCCCACTGCCATGAAGATCACAAAGCCCCCCTCGCAGTGGAGCAGCACACCAATCCTGGTGGCCTTTGTGCTGGGTAAGCACTTCTCCACGTCATCGTGCCAGGATGATATTTTGTTGTTGAGCCACTCGATGCACCAGGAGCTGCTGTTCCTGCCCAGGCGGCTCTCGGGGCCGTGCCGGGCCATGCTGCCGTAGCACACCCCGATGCCACAGAAGCTGTTCTGCTGCAGCTCCACCTCCCAGTAGTGGATCCCCCTCTTGAAGCACTGGAACCCCAGCACCTGGCGGAAGTCGGTGAAGCGCTGAGGGTGGGGGTTGTAACCCCTGAAGTTGTCTGAGACGGACATCCTGGTGTAGTTCTCAGACAGCATCACGTTGTTATGAGCTGTGTTGTAATCCAGGGTGATTTGAGCAGTATCTGCAACGACATGAATCATGTGAAGGTACTGAAGAGCAAAGCACTTTTATTTATTTATCCTGTCCTGCCCAAGCACTTGTTCCCATGCATGTTCATCTCCCAGCTCTGCTCTCCTCCTCAGTGCAGGCAGTTCTGAGGGCCTCAGTAAAACCTTCTGGGTTTAACTGCAGCTCCAAGTTACACAGCAGGCAAACAGAGGGCGAGTTTCCTTCCTTCCTGCATGCCCATGGCATTCTTTCACCACCCAAATAAATGCTGGAAAAAGAAGGGGATCTTTGATCTGGCAGCAAAAGGTATACCCATGTTGTACAGCATCTTAACAAGGCATCCTGAGCTCACATAAAAGCCTCCATTTCATTAAAAAAAAAAAATTCACTGCATTACACCATATTTCT